ACTGTACAATATAACACCCACTTTTCACTATTCATGTTATGAGTCCCATGTAATGGGGGGCTGCGCCTATTGCTACATATATACCGGGCACAATTCCAGACTCCGTGCTACTACGGATATTTTTTTTAAAAACCCAGTATTCCTTTGCCCGACCCGGGAATCGAACCCGAGACCCTTTGCCCGGCAGTCGCACTTGCGATCATTTGGCCAACGAAGCAGTCGAGTAAATATACTTACTTCGGAAAAATAATAAAAAGGAAATATTGGTGCCAAAGTTGATCTTGTCTCAATCTCAAGCTCTCATGGTTATGGAGTGATTGGGGTTTGAAATGAATTCAACGCAACGCTTAAATATAGTAAAAAAATATATTTTGCGAGAATATTATTATTACAATACTGGATGCTTAATTAATAAAATGATTATAAAAACAGGAAAACTTTGACAAAAATACCAAAATAAAGTTACGAATGCGTTTAAGCGCGCTCAAAAATTATGCACAGTATAAAAATGCGCGCGTTCAAATAATCATAATGTTGTCGGCGGGAGTGCTGCACAGATAATATATAAAAAAAACGTTTTCAAAGACTGTACTACTGGACATTGTAGTCTTACTGAAAATATTACAAATAAAATTTCTCCTCGACAACCCTTTTCTTCACCATCACTGCTCTCTGTCCTTTTATAGGAGTCTTCTTATTTTGTGCCTTAAGTTTTTTGTTTTGGGCCAATATTTTATTCTTTTGTACTGTTTCTCTTTTCTTGATGGCTTGCAACTTCTTCTTGGTTGTATCGATTTTTTTTTTCGTCTGTTCCAATGTCTTCTTGTGACCTGCTAAATCTTTCTCTAGTTGTTTCCTTTCCTTAGTAATTAATTCTAGAGTTTTACGTGGCGTGGCCTTCTTTTTGGGTGGGGCAGCATCGTTCGTAGCTATCAAAATAATAATATGTTTTTTAATAACTATCGTGAGACATACTAAATTAACTTATCATCGCGGGTTACTAACGTGAATATACTGAGAAAACCTCTACTAGTTTCGAACCACCGAGGGGTTCTTCCTCATGAGCAGGATGCGCGGTCGCGGCGATGTCGCGCAGCCTACTGAGGAATCCTCATGGAGGAGCTTCATGAAAAAGAACCCCTCTGTGGTTTGAAAGCAGTAGAGCTTTTCTCAGTATGTTCATCTGAGTAACCCGCGATTTTAAGTTAAAATAATAATACTTTTAAAAGGTGTTCTAATATTTGGGAAATTAGGGAATTCTCGAATATTTCTTAGTAGTATAGCAAATAGTATAGAAGAGAAAAAGAGAATTGTAAGAGATTTAAGTTTGATAGGTAGGTACCTATACCTATGGCAACAATAGATTCACTCGCCCTTTTTAGAGCAAACAAGGGATTCACAATATGTTACAAAACTGGTAAAAAGTGTCTATTGTGCACTACTTACTGTGATTTAGTGTTTTGTTTAAACTGTCAAACACCAAGCGGTCACCGGTGACCGCGACCTATTGTTCTTTAATTGTGTCTATAAAACCGGTACTCGACGAGTTAAAAAACGTTGCTTTATTATTATTATTAGGATTTTCTCCTGTGTCGAGTCGTGGCTGCGCTTACAAACATACACATTTACATACATATGACACTCAGACCCCAAACAATAATCGTGGATCAGACAAAGAGCTGCTCCATGTGGGAATCGAACCCGCTACACGTAGTGCAGTAGCCGGTTGCCCAGCCACCGCACTAACGTGCAGTCTACAGCTGCAGTAGCAAGTCTGAAATGTAGATAAATTATCTCATTGATGATTATAACAACGTTGGATGGATGGAAATTAGCTTTTACCCGCGGCTTCGCTCGCGTCACAAAAGGATAAAAAGTAGCCTATGTGACTATCCATCCCTTCAACTACCTTCAGTTAAAAAATCACGTTTATTAGTGCCTCCGTTCCGCCGTTTAAGACAGGCAAACAAACAAATAGCTTTCGGTTTCCGTTTCGGTTATATCGCGCTATTTAGATTTTTCCAATAAGTAACTAATTCGTTGATTGGTTTTAAATGACATAAAGCGCCATCTATACCAATATTTTTGTTTTCCCTCGGAAATATCAGATTTTTTCGGGATAAAAAGTACCCTATTATTTAATCCAGACTTATAACTTTATGTCTGCAAAATTTCAAAGCAATCGGTTTAGTAGTTATGGCGTGAAATTGGATCAAACAAACAAACTCACTTTCCTATTTATAATATAAGTAAGGATAAGTAAGGAAGTAAGGATTTGTCTACCTGGCTGGGGCGAGTGACAGTATCCCCACGCATGGTCCTCATCAACCTCATCGCTTCCGTCGACACAATCAGTAATTTCTTCATCACTCTGACAAAAATTACTGTACTCATTACACTCGTCACTCATTGTTCACTGTAATACATAAACAATAATCAATTTTATAATAAAGCTAATTGATTATTAGGTTTATGGTCGTAACTGTTATAAGTACATTATGTTACACAGTAGGCAACTCAATAACTTTAAAATCTATTTATTTAATTTGATACACGAATTAAAATTGGAACTAGTCTAAGTGATTCAGAGCAACGACGATTATAAGAATTCTGAATAGAATGTAAATGATGTTACAATTACAAGGCATGTTAATACTATACTGGATACTCGTGGGTATTTGTTGCCCAGCAGATGGCGCAAATATCGTTAGAGATTGTTTTGTCCAATCACAGCAGCTGTCAAATATTAAACGTCCAATGTTGTGACTCTAGCTCATGCCCTATTGGACGAATACCGAGAGGTGCACACTAGCGCAACCTAGTGAGCAAGAATACGGTAAGCCCCATTGCAAGTTAATGGGTACAAAGTATGTTTGTAAACTAATGATAATTATGAATATACTAATTAATGAACCTAAAGATGTTTATAAACTAATCATATTTACCCAAAATTTACAATCTTAAATATATACGGCAACTAATGGGTGTAAGTATGTTAAGTTATGATTATACCAGATAAACACGATCACTATCAAAACATAAAAAATTCGAAAAACATAAGTGAAAGTCGGGTCCTGAATCACTACAAAGTATTTATTAAACAAGCCGTTGTCTCCTGTCTGTCCTATCCCTATGTACGGTACGTCAAAGTTTACGGTATACTTTTAAACAAAATTCTATGGCTAACTCGCTATCGACGCTATCTTGCCTGTGGTCGTTTAATCATGGTCAATTGTACCTATATCTTTATAACTACACAACGGTGCTTTTAAATTGTCCTTCACTTATGGGCGGTGGTCGATTTACACGAAGTTTTGTTATAACAGAATAATAAACTTACCAAGTGTATAAATATAAAGTCCAATGTGAGCTCCAAATCAAGCACTTACTTGAAGCACGCTTAGAATGATTTTTGCATAGATTTGCACTTACGTTTCATTACATTACTAGATACTATTCACAATAGCTTTTAGGTTTTGAAAACTTTTTATTTATGAATAGGTAGGTAATAAACTTTTATGGAGAACTGTAGTTTATTTATTATTTAATTTTAATTAATTAAATGGTTAACAACACGATGGCAAACTTGATTTCATTACGTTAGCTAACTAACGCAGAGATAAGCTCCACGCAATATGAAACTGCTACCACTTCAAATATAGGTCTGCATGTGTGAGTGACAAGGTCGGTTGTGTTAGTAAATAAGGAGCATACATGTGCATTGTAATCACAAGCTCACACATTCTACGAGTGAGTCATAGTCAGAAGTACCTACCTACTTAGAAACGCTCAACTTTGAAAGCCAGATTGTTCCCTGCTGAATAGTTTTGCGATTGAAATATACATTACCCACATTAGGGTGCGTCCACATCTGGCGAATGCGCAGAATGTGCTTTTAAAATATTATTTATATAACGTGACACTGTGAATGCACGCGCGCAGCTCGCCATATGTGGACGCATCCTTAGGTATACCTACTTTTGTTTATGGCGTAAACCGGTAAACGAGCAGACGGATCATCTGATGGTAAGCAATCGGCGCCGCCCATGCACACCTGGAACACCAGAGGCGTTACAAGTGCGTTACCGGCTTTTGCGGATTGTTGGGGATTCAGGGATTGGGGAGATAGGGGATGGGAAGGGTAATTGGACCTCAGGTAACCTCACTCACACGACGAAACACAACGCAAGCGTTGTTTCACGTCGGTTTCCTGTGAGGCCGTGGTATCACTTACCTTGACTGGTCAGTGTATTTTCGTGTTAAATAACAATGGCAGGTACTTTAAGGTATATTGATCTCAAACTAGACATGCATGCGTCATACTGCGAGAAGTACATCCTTGTATTTAGTGGCGAAACGGCGTGGCGCAGCCCGTGGCAAATTCATTTGATAGGACCCCGTTCCCAATATCAAACAGAGAAGTTCAGATGAAAACGTCTGAACGGAAAGGAAAGGGCTTTCCAGCTGGGCGCCTGTGGCATTTAGCCGACTTGTCACCCTGTAGTTATGCCACTGCTTGTAGGCAGCAGGTGTTATGTACATAATTGTGTATTATTGGACATTACTCAATGCCCATGCGGCTTCGTCTGCTTGGATTTCAAAAAGTTTCTCTCAAATAAGTACTTCCTGATTCTACAACAATATCCAGCACTTTTTTTAATGTACCCGAGCCCTAAATGTGTCGGATAATATGTCGTAGTCTCTAAACATTGGAAATGAGATCTATAATGGAGGTGGGTGAGAGAAGACACCAATGTCTTCTTGGTGCGTTGGCGGCTTTGAGCTGCATGACCAATGTAACGGAGAAGAAACAAGAGCAATTATAGATATGTAAATTAATTTATTGATATTTTTTATTTTCCTAAGAACTCTTGGTGAGGAATACAACTCATAGCTATTTTAAAACTATAAAGTTAAATAAAACATTTTTTATTTCTAAACCTACATAATCTAGTTGTTTTTACAAATATTTGAACATAAAAGTCTTTGTGGACTTGACAGTACTGCTCTGTACCAAACTGTCGGGTTTTGGCATCGGTGGGGGCGGCGGAGGTGGAGGTCCTGATTTGACACTATTACTTACTGGCACTGGGTTTTGAATCTTAATACTGATATCTACAGGTTCACTATTTAAAATACGGGTTCCATATATTGAAACTGGAGGGCAAACTTCATAGCCCAATTTGGCATAAAAGTTTTCCTGCCCTTTTGTTGATAAATGAAGCATTTTTAAATTTAACACATTTTTACAATATTCTTCAACTTGTCTCATTAGGTAGCTACCAAGTTTTTTGCCTCTCATTGATTTACTTATAACTACAGTTTCTATAAAACAGCTTTCTGGTATACTGGGTATTGGAGTCAATTTACAATGTCCCAGAAGGTGCTTTTTATCATTTATAAGAATTAAACTCGTTGGTAAATTGTTGCATGATGCTTGCAGCGACATCATCCGAGCTGTCTCACTGCGTGGCCACTCATCGTTGATTAGTTCGCAACATGGCTTCAAATACTGAGGGTTTTCGTGTAAACGTAATACTTGAAGGTCCTCTACATCCATTTTTAATTCTGAAAAGAAATGATGAGTTATTGGTACAAATATAATTTTACTTTTGCAACCCATTGACTTTGACAAGTGAATAAATTGACATATTGACAAACAGATCCGTCCGCCGACCGCAAGCTCAAATGTCAAAACTTAGTTCGAGGTTATAATTTAAACTATATTTTTCTACGACTACTGTTGCTGTACATTATCAGACAAACTATTCATGATAAAACAACAAAGTATACTTACAAGTTAATCAAAATCCATTTCTAAAGCTATACTTCACATTGGCACAGAAATTGCGAATTTTATCTGGTAAATGTTTGATGCATATTGTGGTCAGCGGAGACGGGCACAAACTAACCTATTTATAGCTGTCACACGCATGTTTTGAGCAGACGTAGTGTACAGCACGTCTGTTATAGTATGATCTAACTTATTACGACATTAAAAGTAAAAGTAGCTAAATATAGTTTGATTAGCTAATGCAGAATAAGTACTCACAGACATTGCCTCCAATCTAGATTTGACTTAGTTCTGCCTTTAGTTACCTACTTATACGCTTCTGTAATATCATTACAAAGAAATCAAAATTCAAGTATAATATTATGACTTACCATGCTTTTACCAATAATGTAATAAAGATGAAATGATTAAAGCTCTAGAATTTATTCTACAGTATAAACTTCACATTAAATTATACACACATTAAAATTTGCTATCAATATCAGATTATACTCATATCAGTACCTATCACATTTCATTGAAATCATAGTTTCACAGTTAATTCTGACTTCCTACCCACATAAGTTTAAATATTGGAAACCACCTACAATGGAATTACAAATGTAATCCATCATTGTCTAATTTAGAAATATAATGCCAAAATCAAAAAACTTCCAAAACAAATATTTTAATGTATAAAATCCTATTTTATTTGTTTCCTGATTAAATCAAACATTTGCATTAAAATTAAATTTTTTAATCCTCATTTTGCACTTAGTATAATCATGGCTTCCAAATACACAAAAACAATGAACACTAGAACACTATGTAGAAATATAAATAATAAAATTTCTGTAGAGTACCTACCTACCCACTTTTACCCACAGGTTATTTTATCTGTACCAGTCAAAAAAATTATATACAAAATATGCTGTACTATAAATACTATTTAACAAGTTGCTTGAGAAGATGATATCAAATTCTTTTTATGTTTATGCTTTTTAGGATAGGTCATTGAGTCATGGATGCGGACGATGATGTTCCTGCACTCTCTGCGGAGACATTCGCAGCCCTCCAAGAGTTCTATGCCGAGCAGCAGAAACGACAGGAGATACTTGACAAGCTCGAAGCTGATAATAAGCTAAAAGAGAATATTCTGTTTGATGAAAACTGGGTAAGAAAAGACGTAATTAGTGATAGGTACTCTATAGATATAGGTATAGATAGGTAGTATATTTATATACGTAATTGTATACTTGGTTCTGATTTTAAAACACTCTCTTTTCACAAATTAAGCAAGATTTCAGACAGAATTTTGAAAATAAGCAAACAACTTTAATATTCTATATCTGTTTAGCAAATGAACCAAAGACTAACTGCTTAGTGGTTGTCACACCTGATTGATGGCAATAACTTCTCTTTTATTATGGGAATGTATCGCGAAAAGCAACTCTGCCTCCTAGAGAATAAAGTGTGATATTATTTATCTTGCCAGTTGCCATAACATGTATTTGAAATTGTATATATTTTTTAAACACACCCACAATACATTCCTAGTGTGGGGCAACATTTTATCTAAAATGATTATTTCTGTTACAGCAACTGAGCCAGTTCTGGTACGATGAGTCGACAGTGCAGACTCTAGTACGTGTTGTGGATAAGACACTGGGCGCAGGGGGGCGCGTGGCGCTCATCTCCTGCCCCACACTCTTCGTGCCAGTGAAGCGACAAATTGGAGATAGAGCTACAGGTACACAGCTGATCATTTATTATTTAAACTATATGGGTTTATAATTACACTGTTTGAAGAAGTGAGAATTGATTGTAAGTCCCATTGTTACTTGAAACTAATCCAGCTCTCATGTATACTCAACCACTGACTCAAGATTAAGTATTTTTATTATATTTTCTAACAGAAATTGGCAAAGGAAGCAGGCAACTTTATCCAAATTAACTGTTCTATGTCATAGATAGATGAAGTTGCGAGCAAAAAATATCTAGTTTAATAACACTAATAATATTGTTTCCAGTGACTCTTCTGGAATACGACCGTCGTTTCGAGGTGCACGCTCCAGACTTTGTGTTCTACGACTACAACTGTCCAGACAAGTTGCCTCCAGAACTCCTAGGCTCCTGCGACCTGGTGGTAGCTGATCCTCCTTTCCTTTCCGAAGAGTGCATCACTAAAACTTCGCAGACTATTAAACTTATGGCCAAGGATAAAATAATAGTGTGTACAGGAGCCATAATGAAAGATAAAGTGAAAGAATTGTTAGGACTTCATTTGTGTGAGTTTCAACCTCATCATAGAAACAACTTGGCCAATGAATTCTCTTGTTACGCTAATTTTGAATTAGATGACATTTTGAGATGATTCATCCATTTGTGTGTTGGTTTTTAAGTGTGTAATGGCATTTATTGTTGTTCTAACTGTAAATGTAAAATATTTATATGAATATGTAAACTACATAATGTATAAAGCAGGAATTGAAATGTCAATAAATTAAATATTTCAGAAATTACTATTTTAATTTCTTTGTGGTACATTAGTGTGTTTTTTTTTTAAATGGAGAGCATATAAATTTTAAATGACTAAACAATAAAAGAAAAATAATCAACGAGATGAAGACTTGGAAGTCATAATAGTGTCTCAGATTTTATTTTCTCAACAGATATATTATTTTTGTTTAACACTAACGGACCCCGCTAACTTTGTTTAGCTTTGTAAATTTTTCTGCCCACCTTTGTTAATTTATTTTACATAATAAAATTTCTTACTCATAATGAGAATTGGAGTAATTGTTGTAGCTGCTTTCGAGATTTTTTTATTGGGATAAGCCGGTAAACGAGCATACGGATCGCCGCCGCCCATGAACACTTGAAACACGGCGTTACAAATGGGGATTTTGGGAATTGGGATTTTGAGGATTGTGGGGGATTCGGAGATTGGAGAGGGGTTAAATGGGCCTCCGGTAAGGTTACCGGAGGCCCATGTCGTGTGAGGTCACTGACACGACAAAAAACACAGCGCAAGCGTTGTGTGAAGCGCGTGTTTCACGTTAATTTTCTGTGAGGCCGTGGTATCACTCTGGTCGAGCAGACCCATAGTCCCTCATGACTCTTGCCGAAGCATGGCTCTCCCACACTTAAAATTTGCTCTTAGCAACACATTCAGCGATTTATATGTTAAATAATTATGAAAACAGAATAAAACAACTCACATTTGTAAAACATTCCCGTTTAATTGTTCATCTTAACAAAACTAATATATTTGTTACATTACATTATGCTGGTAAACATTCAGGTTTATTATTTCTCTCAAATTGATAATAATTCATCATTGCAATTTAATAGTCTAAGATTAAAATACATACATTTATTAACAACCCAGGGATAGAAGTGTGACGACCTACCGTTACCTGCACGACACAGAAGAGGAGTCTTGTGTTTATTACCTACATAATATATTATTCAATTAGTTGAATAAATTCTGCTAACTAAAAAATGAGCAGGCCGTCACACTAATTATCCGCAAAGTACATATTTCATATATTTTTTTATAGACATCTAATATATTTTCGTTTTCGTGAATGAATCAACTGAATAATAATGACAATGGTTATTATATTATGTAAAAGTCAACTCTTTTAAAATTACTTTGTGACTGTAAACATAGTCAATATACTGTTTGATGTTATATTTTGTAATTTGTAGTCTTTTTACTACTGATAGATAAATTTATTTCATTAAAAAGTTAAATCTGTTACAGTAATTACACATCAATATATTTTTTTTTCAAACCAGAGGCCTATCGTTATATTAAAATATCAATGGACACCTTCATTTATTATTATTATTACTATTTAATAAATTCATCACTTATCACTATTAAATAAATTATTGAATTCTATATTACAATTGCTGTTCAAATTGAATGAAACATTTTGGTTTTAATACATGTATGGTTTGTAAAACATTGAATATATATTATCATATATATAAATTCGGAATATATATATACAATTATTTATTTATTTGTTAAGTAAAATAAAGCGATTTGATTGGTTTAAAATCCTGTCAATAAGTCAATTCTATATATTCCTATAATAAAAACAAAAAAATGTAATTTGTACTAAAAATAATATTTATCTTCATACTTACTGATGAATTGAGATAATACCTATATAGTCACAACTAAATAACCATAACAGTTACACATTTGTGTGAAAATTTATTCACAACAAAACTTTCGTAGAATATTTTGTAGACAAGCTCACCAAGATCGAATTCAACATTAACGTCTTAGTTATAAAGTTGAAAATATATTGACGAAATATGCTGATCCTACATTTCTATAGGATTGTATTTTATTGTTTCACCTTAAGGTCAGTTTTCAAATCCGACCGTGGACATAACACCGGAGGAGTCCCAAGTGTGTAGCCGGTTTTATTTTTAAATTAATATTAATTTTCAAAAGGTTTAGTTACAGCAGAAGTTCTTTTATTATATACTTTAATTATTTATTTATTATAACTATCTACAAGGCCGTATTATCCTAGTCCAAGTTGGCTGACAAGCCAATTTTTATAAATATAATATTTTTTATATTCATTTAAATTAACTAAAGTCGAAATAAATACTTAGACAATATGCATTGAGGCTCATAGCTAAATTAGGCCTTATGTTAATAGAATTAAGATTTGTAATTAACGAAAAATATAGATTTACCTAAAATAGAGTGCAATAAGCCAAACAAAACTAATTTATGGGAAACATATTGCATCTATTTTGTGCATTTATATTTAAAAACGAAAAATCCTATCGTGTATGTGTGTCCTATCTGAACTAGAAAACGACTGAACTGCTATTGATAAAAAAGTTTGAGTGCTTCCACACGATAGATGGCGCTGTAACCAAATAATGTCCATCTGGTCAGTTTTAACTCGTCGAGTACCGGTTTTATAGACACAATTAAAGAACAATAGGTCGCGGTCACCGGTGACCGCTTGGTGTTTGACAGTTTAAAGGAATGATCTCACGATAGTCTAGTACGCATGCGTAATGGCTTTCCGTTAAATTTGAAAGCTCAAAGAAGCAATACCGTCGCGAGGTTTTATTTATAACTATTTTAGTTAAGTTGATACTAACCGCCGTACTTAGAGTTATTTTAACGGTCCTTAACAATGGCCGGGGTTGCGGACAACCGCAAGCGTTACCTGGGCTCCGGCTAGAAGCAGGAGAAGGAACGGACTGGTTTTTAGTCAGTAAGATTCCTCACGCCCTGGGAAGGACTCCCAGGGCGTGAGGAATCATTTGGCAAACTTCCCTTTTTAAAAAAAAACCGTTAGCAATTGTTTTCAAAACAAAATCGTTATTGAAATAGTTCAAGTAATGTTAAAATGCCTCTGAGTACGGCCGCAAGAAATTGTTAAGTTTAACTAAAAAAGATTTTTCTATAAGAAAGTGTCTAAAAGAAGAACTATGATCACAACCTAATTCAGGTATATATTAACTTGATTGTCTTTTAACAGTCACAGAATGGAGTTATGTGAAATGATATTACAGTGTATATGATATTATTATGCCGAGCGGCCATTTTACACCAATTTTCAGGCTTCTTCGGTATCGTAGGCTAACTAAACATTTGACAGAAACTGGACAGTAGTGCCTTCAGACATGAACCCTTTGAAACTGATTTCCACACTGCCTGCAAAGCATGAGAGATTATTGAAAACCTTCTTATGTATAGGAGGACAATAGTCCAATAGTCCAGAGATGTCACAAGGTACTATAAAACTATGATTATATAATGTGTAAGTTTAACTATAGATATATAGATTTTAGCTACAAATATATGTATTATTTGTAGCTAAAATCTATATTTTCTATGAATGGTCAATATTAAAATAGTTCTATGTAGATATTTGTGTATGTATGTATATATATATATATGTATTTATTTAATATGTATCTACGAATGTATATGAAAGGACAAATCTGTATATTTGTGACTATTATGTCCTCACAAAAATTAAGGGAAGAGTTATGTTAAAATTCCTGGTAACAATTATCATGATAAAAAATGGAGTTCTGTTTTGTTTTGTCTTTCCATTAAACCAATTTGGAACAAGCACATAGTTCAATTAAGGAGTGAATTACTGACTGACATGCAAACTTGACTTATTTACATATTTTTTGACTTCTAATAGATTACTGGAATAAATGACTAAGAATTCCCAACAAGAATTATTATTATTATACTCGTCCCTTAATTTTTGTTAGAAGTTTAATTGAAACCTACGAGTTTGTCTATAACAATGAGTAGTGTTCGATCAAGATATACATATCTAATAGAAAAATATACATATGAGATAAAACAGTTTCCTAATAATTGAATGATAAGGCCTACTTGGTACGATGATTACATATATTTATTGTCTAATGAAGTTAGGCCCCAAGACTTATGGCCCATTTCACATACGCTGGATAGCCACTATGAAAATAACGTACCTATATAAACCACAATAGCAGGAGCTTATGGGAGAGTTTTATAATCTTGACATTTATTAACGCATTCACTGCCCAGTGGATTTTCTCCAGTGCCCGTATTATAAGACATACTACAGTGCCCCGCACGCACTATTGCGTTCAATGTTTGCCCTTTTCGTGTGCCGGAAACTCATATACGCGTTCTTACGGCTCTCACTGTGTGCCCGAAACTCATATATGCGTCCGTTCGACTCTCGGCGAGTGCCCGTGACGCGTCTGTGCGTTTGTTATATAAGGTGTGTTGGGGTAAGATCGGTGCTGGGGTAAGAACGTAGGAATCAAATATACCACTTATTTGGCCATATTTTTTAATGTTAGCCACATTGCCCGCAACGTCATTATGTTTCACCCCGCCTCGCAGTGATCGCTAGTCGCTCCGGCTACTCGGACGTGTACCACGCGCCGTTAGAGAAAACAATGTAAGTTTTATAAAATATTTGTTTATCCGATCTTTCACCTGCATTTTAATTTACATATTTTAGCAAAAGTATAGCTTATTTTGGATTTGTTTTGCCTAAATTCTAAGTTTTAAGCAGTGATAATATGATAAAACTCATCCAGATACGGCTACTACATCTGTGGGCTGAAATCCGGTGTTACCCATCACGAGTAAAGATCGGACAAAAATATCCGGTCTTATCCCGTTTCTAAATTGCCAGTGATTTTCAAACTTTTATTACACATCATTTTAAATATCTACTTAATGTATTCGTAATCGTTTTATTATGGCGCTTAAAATCCAGGGTCACACTGTTTGATTCTACAGCTATCTGTTTTCTTGATTACCTACATTGATTTTAAATGAATAGATACTTATAACAACAATTCATTTGCAGATGCCACGTATATACTCTAGAACCTCTTCGCGGGCCAGACCTATACAAAAGAATCGCTGCAATTGGTCATGCAGAAAATAAATATTATGGAGCTCTCCTATGCAGCCGCTTCAAAAATGTACGGCATAC